TTTAGGCTCAATAAAGACACCTCCAAACTTCTATAGTAATACTTGCAATTTCTCATGATTAGTTTGGTCAGGGCCTCCTTGAATATCACAACAAACTCCTCAACTAAATAAGGAACCAACTGTCTTAGCCCACAACAGTCTTCCTCCACTAGTGTTTTATTAAGTCTTGCTTTAGAAACTACTTTACTTTTGAACTCCTTCATAGCAACCAATTTAACCTTCTGATCCTTTTTATTAAACTCCATTTCTAACTTGCTATAGTCTAACTCAATCTTCCTTAATCCTTATAGCCAATGCATTCCTAAAATCATGTCATAGCCTACCAAAGGAATGATAATGGCATCAGTTTGAAACCAATAGCCTGTCATTTTCTATTTGATGATTTTTCATACCTTGTTAGCTGGTAATTGACCCCTTTCATCTACTATAATGTGAAGCGACTTAACTTCTCTCACAACTCCTATCCCTTCCTTCATTACTTATGAATCTACAAAGTTATGACTGCTACTCGTATCCACCAAAATATGGATTTTTCTTTTTCCTAACCACTCACTAATTCTCATTATTGCGTATCTAGCCTCCCCTTATATAGCATACATAGAAACCATTAGGTCTTCTCCATCTTCCAATACTTCCTTCTCTAAAACTATTTCTCCTTCTCCAATTAATTCTCCATCCTTCTCAGCCTCCATGAAAAACACATGCGCTTTCTTCCTTTATGAACAATCATGTCCTAGACTAAACTTTTCATAGCAAAAGTAACAGAGTCTTTTGTTGTCTGTGCTCTTCTAATTCCTTGGGTGATAATTGTTGCTGCATCGCAAAGTTGGGTTTATCCGAATTTCCCTTTTGATCACTGTTGTTTACAAATTCCTTAGTCCTTAATTCTTTTTTCTTTCCCTTACCTTCTTGTAGCTTCCTCGGTGGTTCCCAAGAAGAGGAAATCTTGGACCCACTCCATTTGTTACTGCCAAATCCCTATTCCTGTAACAAAGACACATTTCTTTTCTTGTAATTTAGCCAGCCTAGTATCCTCCAATAAGGTTCTTAAGGCAAATAATTTCACCCCTACTGCCACCTCTGGTTTCAGCCTAGCCATATAACAACTCAGTTTTTATGCATCATTCAAGTCCACATTGCACACTAACCCATTGATAGCCTCTTGATACTCATCTAGGGATCTAAATTGTCTCAATTGCACTAACTTCTCGATAGGATCCTCATATACAGCCTCAAATCAGATCTTCATGGCATTAACTAACAACCTCCAAGTTAATCTTCCAACAAGACTTAGTTCAAGACCTTGGAACCATTGATATCACCTCATCCATAGCTATACTAGCTAATGTTACCTTATTCCCTTGTGACGTCTCATCCACTATAAATAATCTTTTATATTTTGTAATCCAACTATTTACATATTCTTAAACAAACCTAGGAAATTCTAAACTTTTTTTAATTTGGTGGGAATATTGTATTGTTTGTAAGCACATATATCTGTCAAAAAGTAATAGGAGTTTCAAAGAATTTTTCAAATTATTGTCCTATAAAGATTATTTTTAAGAACCAAGAATATCTTGGTTTAATTGTTGAAACTAAAAAGATGTCTGGTGAACTAAAAACAAGAACAATTCAAAAAGTAATTAAAAAGATAATAATGCAGTTCTTGACATAAATTTGATGGGATGAGCCTAAGGCATATGGTTTCACCTATTACACCTCTTTATGTTTTTCTTTATATTAATTTCAATTTTAGTTTCTCTATATTTACCAACCACTCATACTTATTCTATTAACACTTAATGATCATGCTATGTTAATATTCTTTTTCCTAAGCAATTACCCCCAATGATCATGCAAGGTAAAAGATAGAGAAACATAAAGAATCTATGAGTTTGTGAATTTAATAACAGTTGGAAGAGAAGAATTAAATTTTATTCACTTAATCCATTGTCTCATTTTATCCTATAGTTTCATTAATTACATGTGATACAATCGCCTATGATGCAACTAATTGAGATGCTAGTTCTTAACATACAAAATTCAATTCAATAGGATAAAATCAAACATTAAAAAGAAACTAAAATTGTCATTAAATATAAAAATTACATAGAGTATGCCATAAGATCCACCATAGCCTTAACTATAGATTTAGTTACTCATAATAAAGCAAACAACAAAAATTATTGTAAACAAATCTATAAAAACTCAAAGGAGAATTCAAACTAAAGAAACCCAAAAGGAAAAGAAGATGAAAGAAGCTCTTGTTCTCCAAGGGCACTCAATCACTCGCTCGAACTCTAAAGAAATGCTCGTTGTCTTTACCAATGATCTCCCACACTCCAATAACTCTCAATAGTTGATTAAGTCAAAATTTAAAAGAACAAGAAGATGATGAAGAAGGGATGCCTTTGTCAGGAGCATAAGACTTCTTTATATGGAGTGTGAAATGACCTTCAACAGATAAGCTTTATCTTTAAGGAAGGAAATTGATTTTGCCAAGCTTCAAAATCCTAGCTAAAACCTTCTTCAACTTTTTAAAGCTCTATCTAAATTAAAACTCTCGAAATTTAAAAATTAAATTTTAAATTTTAAACTCATTAAATTAGCATGACTGTGCATATCCTCCAGCACGGTCGTGCTTGAAGTTACGAAGCACGCCTATGTCAGTGTACGAAACACGGTCGAGGCTTTAATTTCAGCTAGCTTTGTCCAATTTTTGTCCAAAATATTTTTATAATACACTAGTGATTCTTTTATGTTTAACTTCAACAATTAACAATAAAATTAATGTAAAACACCCATAAAATAAGCTTTAAGTGTATAGATATAAGTCATAAAATATATAAAAATATGGACTTATCATGTATTCTCTCTTGCCTTGCCTTGCTTGATTTTGACTCAGCCCCAATTTGCATTCCTAACCCACGAATCAATTCTTGCAACTCATCAATTCACTGCTCCACTGCACCAAATCTCAGATAAGTGGATGACATTATTCTTTCTTTTGCTTCATGCACAATTGCTTGTTGACAAGTGGCATCTGCCATTTTGTCAACCCCTATCAAACGCTGAGGATCGATGCTTTGATAACCAGCTGACACATTTAGAAATCACTCGAGGGAAAAAGAGATTAAGAAGGAAGAAATTTGTTGTATTATCATCATACCCAACATGCACATTCCTATCGAATTTATGCAAGTCATATTTAATAACTGTCATCCATAGAATTCAGTTATTAATTATTCACTTTTCCACCTGGAGCCATTTTTTATTATTATCTAACAATACCCAATCTATTATTAAACGTCATAATATCACTATTATAAATAATGAATTATATTTATATATTTGGTGTGATAAAATAATAAAATCTTCTGATTATCACAATTCTTCTTTTCTTATCTATAACACTGTCACCTTTGCATAATTAACTTTTAAATCAAATTTCACCATTAAAAAAATCCTAGTAACCATGATTTTATACCTTGTAGATGTCTTCCAAAGTTGCTTCAAGCAATCCAGAATTCTCTGATTGTCAATCATTTTCCCTAAGAACTTGATCATTTGAGCATTTTGATGTAGTATGCATAACTCTACCATGACCTTTTTCGTCTAGATGTGTCATTGATTCCACTTGTTTCCCTTCATTATCTTTGGCTTAGCCAAGTTCTGCAATATCAAATCCCTTTTCACCATTTGTGGGGCTCGTTCCTTTTTACCCATAACCATATCCTGAATTATAGGTGCTTCTTCATGTTTGAATTTACCGCTAAGTGAGTTTTCATGCGTAGTCTTTAGAAACCTCAGCAAAGAAGACAAATTTTTTTCCTCCATTTTAAATTAACACTACGTTTGATCGATTAATTTGAACTTTGGTGTTTAAAATGAAAAACAAAATCAACAAAAAATTGAAGCTAAATATAAAATTGAAAACTTGTTTTAATTTTTCATGCAAAATCCCAATTGCCACTTACTTCTTAAGTGAGTTTTCGTACACAATCTTAGAAACCTTAGTAAGAAAGGCAAGTTTCTCAATGTCCATCTAAAATCAACTCTCTATTTTTATAAATTAATTTAAATATTGATGTTTAAATTTAAAAAAAATAAAAAATTATAAAAATTTAAATTTAAAACTAATAATTATCTTAAGGAGAGTTGTCACCTTTTAAAAACTAACTAAATCACATCACATTTTTTTAAATAGAATAAACTTTCATTTTAATCATTCAAATTATAACTATTAGTCACTTTATTCTCAACTTTATTAAATTATTATCTCTCTAAATTTATTATTTGTATTTTATTTTTATTTACATAAAATGACATTACAAAATAAAATAAAAATATAGTTAACTGATGTTTTTTAAACAAATTTTTTAAGAACTATTAAATTATAATTAGATTAATCAGATATTTATAATGTGGATTTAATTTTTATATATTATTAGTATAAATCTTTTATATTTTATTTTTTTCACTATGTTGTATGACTTATTTTGCAATGAGTATTGATTTTTTTAAAAATTAATTTTAATCTATAACACTAAAATTTTTCATAATTTAATTCAATCTTATTTAATGTAATAAAATATTTATTATTCATAATATAAATATTTATTTTTACATTATATACTTATTAAATTTTAAAATAATAGCATAATATGTCGTTAACTTTTATTTTAAAAATATTTTAATCTAACAATACTCATATAATGTATAAAAATTTTACTATTTACTTACATTTATTAATTTATTTAATTAATATTTTATTATTTAAAATATATATATATATAATATTTTAAATAATAAAAATTGTTATTATAAAAAATAAAAAAATAAATAATAATTATTAAATCAAATAAAAAACTTATTGCTACCTTCTTTCAACTTTCTTTTATCTTTTGTTAATCTCTCTAAACACTTAAAGTATACAATGGGAACAGCTACAGTAACAGCACCTTGGCCAGCAATCATTGGTTTGAATGCATTGGCACAGGGTGGGGTCCACCTCGACACACTAGCAAATTCCGCAACCGCTCTCTCACCAATGGCATCACCTTCCTTAATCTCTCCTTTGCCCCTTCGGCCACCAACCGGACGCACCGGTTCTCTCTCCCTCCGAGAATGGAACCGTTCAGGGCGCAGAAGCGGGTCCAGATCGACGACGACCCCAAATACGACGACGTTCCGGACGACGAACCAGAGGGATTGTTGCGATTCAAATCGTCGAACAGCAATGTCTCCGATGACCAAGAACCATTCATGGGCATCAAAGTCCGTCGCAAGGACTCACTTCACAGAGAATACAGAGGTGACTACGTCCATGTTCCTTCGCACCCTTTTTTGATGAAGATTTTGCACAAACAAGGTCCCCTCCTCAGACACCTCGTTTTTTCTTCTCCCTTTATTTATTTATTTAATTATTTATTTATTTATTTTGTTTATGCATAGGGGACAACCAGGTTCTATTTGCGGATAGGGTTGTGAAGTTCACTGGTTCGGGAAAGATGAAACGCTGCGTTTTGTTGATTACTGATTTCGCGATTTACATTGTTGACTCCGAGGTCGGTGCCCTTAAACGGAGGATAGCGCTTGCTGCAGTTGAGAAGATTTATCTCAGTGAGGTGAGTGATAACTTTTTCGCTGTGATAATTCCATCGGAGTATGATTTGCTTATGGCTAGTACTCGAAAGACGGAGATTGTGACGGTGTTGGTTGAAGCTACCAAGTCCAAGAGTGCCTCTGATTTTGAACTCGACGTCGTTTTCTCCAATAGGTAAGTGAGATTTTAATCTGTGTATATGCTGTTTATGAAGTTTATTTGCTGCACTATTTATGCTGTGGTTTGGTAAAATAGCCATCTTACTAGGAAAATGTTTAAACATTGGTGCTATGGATTATCATTATGTTGCAATTTTATCTTAGGCTCAATTAAGTAATTAGTCCCTAAAAATGTTTACCATTTTTAATATTTTTAGTCCCTACATGCTTTTTACTAAAGTTGAATCAAATTTTTATAGAGACTACAAGTAAAAATTGTGATAACTTTAGGAACTAATTACTTAATTAATCCTTTATTACAGTCCAGTGATCCACTTTCATTGGAGCAATTAGATGGGTGCATAAGTTGATTTTAACTTATGAGAAGTATTTTTTTTTTTTGTTTTATCTCCTTATTTTCTTCTTCTGCAAGTACTTTTGAAGAACCTTACCCAAACTAGACTTAAATTGATTTTGAAATAAGTAACTTTTAGTTCTCGTAGATTCAATTCTTGGTGTGAATATATATATTTTTTTAAAAAGCATACCGATATTCACTTTAAAGTTGACTTGACTTTATCATCTAAAACCCAGTTATTTTAAACTCACATTTGAAATCATTTTAAAATACAAGTAATTCTTTTTGAAAATGAATTCTACCAACTTCAAATATTTCAAAATCAATTTTACCAAAATTTAAATCAAATGAACCTTTCTCTATCCTGCAAAGTGAAAAGCTTGCAGTATGGCAAGGAATAGCTTTAGTGATGCATTTAGGCACCTATTAACATTCCGACCTATCAGTAACATTATGGTGATCCTGTTAAGGCTTTCAACCAAAATTGTTTTAGAAGTTTTGTGTAAACATGCTTTGCTGGCAAATGCCATTATTTTTCTAGCGGGACCTTCATTGAGAATTTTTATCCTGTAAAGGAAAATGACACAGCTGAAGAATTTCAACAGATATTTTCAATCTTTCAGAAAATTTTCCCTTGCTTTATCCCCTAGCATTTCATTCTTATACATATGCAATTCCATTTGGTAAGAGTATTGATTTTTTTCCAGATGTTTCTATCCAGAATGCATTTCAAATTTCCCATTTCTGATGGCCATAAAGCTAATAAAATAGGTCATACACGTGCATATCACTGTACACATACCTATACAAGGAATGCCTACCTGTGCCAAAGCCCAAAGGCCACACCAACACTATCTCATTTCCTAGTCCCTTAACTGCCAGAGTTATTAGATAAATAGTATTTAATAACCAAAGCCGCATTGTAATACTAACATTCCCTGACCCATAGTTTTAAATTGTTTTCTACTGAGTAAAAATGTATCTTTTAAGTTTGATCAAGGGTTTCTTTGTTTCTGCCTTTGTACTTAGTTTACAAATTTGGCTTGAGCATAAATTTTAATTAATAAATTGGCATGAAACATTAAATCTATCACTAAGGACTTATTTGGCAATTCCTGTTTAGGTTTGAGTATAATGCAGCATCAAACTTGGTGAAGGAGGTTCAATTTGAGGAAGTTGAAGGTAAACAATTTTTTTTCTGTTTTCTTTTCCCTTTGCTAACAGGCATATGTAAGTGGTGATTATCATTAATTTCACCATTGCATCCAATCCATTTTTATTTCTTTGGTGTAGAGTTCTTTTCTGTCTCATTCTTTTTAAGGTTCTTATGTTTCTAAATAAATTTCAGGGGGCGTCAAAACAAGAATTTTGAGGAAGTGAATTGTGGTTCAAAATTTTTCATAAAGTTATCTATAAACTATGTAGGAGATATATGCAGTTAATGATTTTTGAGTGATAGTGTGGAATGTGTTCTTCAGAGATAATAGGTTTCCTCTCAAAGGTTTATTCATATGTAATTACGATGTCAGAAGAGGAAAAAAAATTGGAAGATATGTGATGTGTGTTTTCAACATGAAAATTGAAATGAGATTCATATATATTGAATGTATCAAATGTGATTATGTCAATTTCTTGGAGCAAATATAAAATGTGATATTGTCCATTTCCTATGTTGCTCATTTCATTTGTCTTAATCTTCAATGACTTTGTACCATGGGGAGTTCGCAAACTTCCTCTAGTGTACCTTTACACGTTACTTTTGGTTTTAATTTTAGCATAGTACTAATACTATGTTCTTGTGGAATGTTCTTCAATTTATATTATCGACCTGAAATAGAAATTAATTTTTTTGTATTTTCTAGAATTCTGTCTAGCCGTGCTTGGATGTTACAAACAGCGAATTTTCAATTTCACCTGGTAAATTTTGTCCCAAATAGCCGATTTGAGGATCCTATTGTTCGTGCTTCTTGCTAGCCCTGTTTATGATTCAGTTCATCTAAAAACCCAAACAATATGGTTCAAATGAAATGAATTGGTTCAAAAAACTGTTTCTGTCAGCTTAATGAGCAAGACTTGGAAGAGTAAATACATGTAGGAATAAGAAGTAGCTAAGTTAGTGAATAGTTTGTTAGTTAAGATATCACATGCTAGCAATTGAGCTTTTAAATGGGGATGGATTGTAAAATTCATTTATTTTTAATAATAATAATAAAAAACAGAATCGAATTTTGGATGTGAGGGGAAGCTCTAGGGGAAGTTGCTCCCTATTCTCTCTTATCTTTTTCTCTACCTTTACATACTATTTTTTCATTCCAGCTTCTGAACCAGTCTTTTCAGCAAACTCTAAACCAGTTTTCTTGGTTTTTGAAAAACAGTTAAAAACTTGTTCTCCCATATTTTTGGTTCTGTTTTGTTAACATACGTTCGAAATTGGTTCAAAAACTAATTCAAGAATTTATCTGCCTTATTTTGGATCCACAAGATTGTCCAATTGATTGTGAATGTACTTGTGTTCAAAACACTATCAAATCAGACACTGAATTGGATGCTGCATCTGGAGGGTTTAGTGATGCAGACAACATAAGTATATAAGTAGAATTGGCAAAAGCCGAAGAATAAAACCATAATGAACCAATAATGAACTTTTGCCAAATTGTGCTTATCTTATAACTTTTATTGATATCAGATGCTTACATATTTTTTCCTTGGTACGACAGTTTTGTGCAATACATGACATACAGTTGAAGCACAAGAATGTTGAATGTTGGGTCGCAAGAAGAATTGGGGTGTTATGTAAACACTTTATTAATGTATATTAAATGAAAGCTGTTAGACTTAGAACCCACATGACACCCATTGAAAGAAATGTGGCAAGAGATCTAAAGTCAGCTTCAGTTGCTGAATTGTACTAATTCATCAGCCAAAATAACATCTGTTAAGGCTAGAATTTCCACCATAATTAAATTCCATACATTATGGTTAAAGTTCCACACAAGTCCTCAATGCTTTCCCATAATATTAGATTAGCTTTAACCCCAAGTTGTTGCCAACTACCCTATATTTGTGTTGGTGCTGAAATAAAAACTCAAGTAAATTACAATCAAACATTAAACTTGCAATAGATTTATATAAACTAATAAAATAAGTGTGTGCGTCATCCCTGTTGTCCACTTATAACAATTCTATTGCTAAGTTTAATAGGATTATGCAATGGAGACCACATGTGTGCAATGTGGACAAGCCTTTAGTCGCATGTGGGCAAGAGTATTTGGAAGTTGTAACAGTCTTGTGCACGAGCTAGAATAGATACTAGTATGATGTGCGTGGCAGATAAATTTTTCCTTTGTATTTGGCTCACTTCGTTTGACCTATACCTCTTCCATTTACTATTTGATCCGCTGTTTAGATTATATTTCATAGCTGTTTGCGATTTGTTCATTATTTCATTTTGTTAATGCGAAAAGGGGAGAGATACATGTTAGAAAAGAGTCATGAAAATCATGCAATGATTACAGAGTATGAAAAACAAAATCATGCATACATTAAGGGAAAGTGAACACAACTTATTGTACATTATTTCAATTGTTACTCCTCCCTCAAGATGGTTGTCATCATAAAAAAGAAGAGAATGTGATCATATATTGTAGGTCTTGATAATGCCAAAAAGATAACAAGAAGAAAACTCAATAGCATGAAAATCCTTGATGATGAATTGGCAAAATGATAAAGACAAATGGTTGGAACATTTATATTTTAGAAAAGTTTGTCAAAAGTTTTTCTATTTAATAAATTTATTTGGCCATTTTCAACTTAATCAAGTTTTACTCAAAATAAATTTTAAGATAATTTTTTTGATATGAAAAAAGCATAAATAATGATTTAAAATTATTTAAAAATTGGTAAAACTTTAATTTTTCAAGTTCTAAGTTTATTACAATCGATTACTATATACAGTAATCACTTATGATGTTGTTCTTGTACTTAGAGTTCAAAATTTCATGTATAATCGATTACATATTCATGTAATCAATCACTAAAAAGTGATCGTTGTCAGCTTTTAAAATTTTGAACTATGTAATCGATTACCATAGATCAAAATACGTAAAAAAATGCGTTTTAAATAAATGTATCCTTTTGTATTAATTTCTTACGGTCCATACAAATTGTTCAATATAGTTAACATTTTCTAACACTTTTATACACAAAAAAAAACATACTAAAAAGAATAATTGAACAATCATTCTCATTCATCAATCATCTTGTTTAAATCTTGGCCAAATTCTCCTATTCTTGAGAAAATCTTATAGGATTTCAAGTTGTATCATTTGCTCTATTTAGAGAGTAATTTCTTGTACTATTATTAAAGTTGTAAAAAGGATGAGAAATCCCTTGTAAGAACAAGAGTGTGGTATCTCTTAACTATTGAGAGACTCAAACACAAAATTTGAGAAACCCCAAGGTGTAAAAGGGCTCTTTGATTATAAAAATTTAAAAAAATAGTGAAATTCTCAAGTGAGTTGCTTGAGAAAACTTGACGGAGTCATAGGGGTGACCAAACTAGTATAAATCAAGTTTGTAATCTCTTTTCCCTTATTTCTTTAATGTATTGCAAATTTATTTCATTAATAGCTTGTTCGTATTCATCAATAGACTCTCATATCTCTTACATTTTCACCCATTTAAGTTAATCTTTTAGTTTAAATTCTTAAATATTATAAAAACAAATTTAAATTGTGAAATCTAAGGAAATTTATAAACTCAATTCATCGCTTCTTAAATTCATTGAGGCCACTTGAATAACAAATTATAGTGGCATTATATTCATTTTTGAAAACTTGGATGATGGCTTCACATATTATATAACCCACGAAACCTAAATCGTTAAATGTTGTTTTGTATTTCTCAAATCAACATATTTTAAAAAGTTATGGTGCTGATTAATTGTATTCCTATTCGGGATACACTAGTCTTCTAGAAGCTCCTCTTCTATGAAGTCAGGCAACGTCTTTACAAGTATCTCTAACTTCTTTCTGCATGACATGGGGGAGGTGTACCTGCAAAAGGCACTCTAATGATAAAGTCAAGTGTCAGTTTAGGCAATAAATGTTATTAGATATTCAAAAGTCAACCTTTTACCTGTACTTCTTACTTTCCTTTTATAAACAGTATTTTGGGCTAATGGGCTTCATGAGTCAGCCCTGTCTTAGGCTTTATGTTTAGATACATAATTAATGATTATTTTCCTTAATCTTCTCCAATGTCTAATTTATCATAACCTGACAGGGTATTTGTCCTTGTGCCGAGGGAGTACTCAGATTCCTTTATCTGTTATAATAACCGAGTGGTGCCTTGTCTAGTACACTAGTCCCCCAAGCTCGAGGAAGTGTGATGTAAGGGCTAAAAAAAGTTTGTTGATCATACTGATGAAGTAAATAACTTGGATGAAACTGAAAAGGTAGAAAATGTTTCTTGCTTAACTACTAGTATTGTTAGGAATTATGGCGATGAAGCCAAATCATCTAATGCTAATGAGGGGGACCTCGAGTCAAGTGAATCGCTGTCGAATGCTAGTCCTCCAAGGGAAAGACCTAAGTTTCCACCTTGTATGATCCTTGGGTATGAGTGGGTAGATGGGGAGGTAGTCGCGTACTTCTCTTACTTTCAACAAAATAAGCGTTTACAAGCTTTTGTAGATTATTATGATATTTCATTATAGGAGGCCTCAGACCCCTATCCGATATCCGTCAATGTCTGCTAAGGGGATGGTTTAGGTGACTCTGAACTAGTGTTTTTAGGCAGTGCCGAGATGGTCGACACCTTTTTTGTATATGAATGTATTTTTAGGGAATTAGGTATTATACTTCCATTTGATTATTTTCAAATGAGAGTATTAAGGGTTCTGAATGTTGCACTTACGCAACTTCATTCGAATGGATGGGCAGCAATGCAGGCGTTTAGAATCTTGTGTAAATTTCATTATATTGAGGCCAACGTAGGTTTGTTTCTTCATTTTTTTTTTGTACTCGTCCTTCAGATAAGGCGAGGTGGGTGTCTTTGATAAGGCAAGCCGAACTTCCCTCTTTGTAAACCTTACACTTCTTCTTTCAAGGGTTTCAAAACCAGATACTTTAAAGTCACCGTCCATCCTGTCGGTAGGAAATTCTTTTTTGATAGTGAACATAAACCTCTCTTCCCTTTTCACTGGACACAAATGCCTCGCCGGTACGATATATATCCAGAGGAAATGTTGTCTTAGGAAGAGCTATCGGCCTTGGAGTATTTAAAATCTCTACCTCGAGAACTTCTTGTTCGAGCCCTTATCCTTTTAATGAAGTCCCCTAAGCCCCGTTTGGATATGGACAATATGTTTTGTCTCTTGAGTTCATAACTTGGATACTGAATTATATTGATTTGACTTTTTATTTTTATTGTAGGCATAATGGCACAAAGAGGACTCAACGTGAATTACCGTCAAGGTTTGAAACAAAGAGCTCCAAGAGGTACAACTGTTGAAGAGCATCGACATCCCCGTCTGGATTATGTTCCAGACTTGGCTGAGGCCCGCCCCCTCCTAAGGATCAACCCCTTGCCGAAGGTCACCAAAGGAAAAGAAAAGATAAAGGCAAGGAGAAAGAACCCGAGAAGGAGAGGAAGCGGAAACATGCCCAAGCTGCAGGATCGAGTAGTTCAAGCGATTCGTCTATACAAACCGTCATCCCTCCTGTTGTCTTTTTAGACTCTTTCTTTTCTGAGGGGGTTCAGGCTGCGAAGATTGTTTTTTCAAACTTATTATCAAAAATTTGGAGGGCTATTGTAAAGAAACAAAATAACAGGTCTCAGTGGCAATGGTATTGCGAGCTGCAAACCCGAGCTATGTTCATGGCCCGTAGCTTGGCTTTGGAACCTTTGCTTGAATTAGAAAAGGTTTAAAGCCAATTATCCTCAACCTAGAAAGCTCTTGAGGAAAGTGAAGACATTCAGTCCAGCTTGGTCAAAACCAATAAAGCACTGGAAATTGAATTGGCTCAAGCAAAAGGGCACTTTAATATTGTTGAGGATCGGCTACAGGTGACCGAAGAAGCTCTAAGGGTGAAAAGATAGTTGCTAGGCGACTGAGGAAGAAGCCTTGGCAAAGGAGAGGGAAAATAAAGAAAAGACTGATGCAGATATGAGGGTGTTCACTGCCGAGTGCAATGAAAAGATAGTTGCTGAGCACAAGGCCAGATTTCATCATGCCATGCGTCAGGCTACTGAATTTTGCCAAGTCTCGTCGACTTCCACTTCGATCTAACCAGAGATTTCTTTGGCTGGAAGTTTCTGCCTTATGATGAAGTGGATGACGAGGTGGAACCTAATTCTGAGGCCCTTTGCCAAGCTCACGGTGCTACTGCTGAAAACGCCCTTACCTAGAATGAAGCTGAGGGGAGAATTAATAGTTTTTCTTTTTTGTAAATCAAAGGCCGATAGTGCATATTTTGTAATGCCTTTTGGCCTTTTCGTTAATACAAGTTTAGTTTCTTCAATTCATGTTTTTCGTTTTATTATGTTACACATTATTCATTTGCTTTCTTTTTATGTCGTGAACTAAGATTTAATCGAAATCGGTCGAAATGGGTACTCAACATAATTCAATTTTAATTAAGTAGGGTATTCGGTAGGGATACATTATAATTAATTTTTCCTTAACCGAGAGGTGTTATTTGAGAGAGTAATTTAATTCATCCTTAACCAAGAGGGGTCCTTGGGAGAGAATAATTTGACTCATCTTTAACTGAGCGGGGTGCTCGAAAGGGAATAATTGTAATTGATTCATCCTTAGCCAAGTAAAAAACTCGGGAGGGAATAATTTGGCTCATCTTTAACCGAGTGAGGTACTTGAGAGAAAATAATTTAATTGATTCATCCTTAACCGAGTGGACTACTCGGGAGGGAATAATTTAATTGATTCATCCTTAATCGAGTAAGCTACTCGGGAGGGAATAAGCGAAAATGTGTAATAATCGAACACTTTGTAGAAAGAGGAAATTTTATTAACGAAGTGTCTCATTAAAAATCTTCTCAAAAAACTCCTTTTCACTTTCTTTTAAGATGACAAAATCTGAGCGAGAAAAATAGTGCACTAATTTACATAAGCTTTAACTAAAATAATGTTTAAGGTGTGACACATTTCAGGTCCTCGGTATAGCTTTCTCTTCGAGTGTTCTAAGTTTGAATGATCCGTTATTGAGGCAGGCTGTTACTTGGAAAGGTCCATCCCAATTGGTTGACATATCTTCCATCTTGTTCTGATACGAAAAGGATGTATAAATCTATACATCCTTGAGTTTCCACTTGCTCGCCTGAAAATTCGATCAGTGGTTCATTATATTCTCTCAATTCTTCTTCTAATATACTCATCTGCTTAAAGGTATTCCAATAAAGGATGTCGGCCGAGCTCCCTTAATCAATTAAGGTTTTACAGATCGTGCAGTTAAGGATATTAACACTTATAACCATGGGGTCATCTTAGACAGGGTTCATCCCTTGAAAATCTCTGTCAGTAAATGTGATCAGAGGGATTCGAATTCCGCTTCCCAATTATATATGATTTATTGACCGGACATGCCTCAAATGCCTTTTCCTGGCTGAGTTAGTAGACCCTCCTTTAGTAAATCCTCCTGCTATGGTGTTAATAATGCAACGAAGGTACTTCTCATGTTCGTCATGATGCCTAACAAGTGGTTCCTTCGATCTACTGTGTTGTCTTCTTGTTCTTTCATCATATCTCCTTGAGGGTTCGAACTGGTAATCCCTACCCCTCTGGGTACATGTTTGTACAAATCCTTATAGGTGCCCAACTTTAATTAAGTCTTCGATGCGGTCTTTAAGGGTTATACATTCTTCAGTGGTATGCCCCTTATTTCTGTGGTATCGACATGACTTTGACTTGTCTGCCCGAGGAGGATATTAGCACGCCTAGGGATGGTTAATATCTCAGCTGCCAGTGCTTATTCGAGTACCCTTGATCGGTTGGTGTTGAGGGTTGTGTAGGTGGTGTATTTGGGTCCTCTCAGTGGCAACTCAGCTTCACCTCTTCGGTCTTTGTTTTCCTGCCAATTTTTGTATAGTTCATTCCTGTTACCTTCTTTTGGGTTTAACCCCAGTTCCATTCTTACTTGACCTCGGTATTTGGCCAATTCTTCCATCTGTATGTACTTGGTTGCATGACTTCTTAATTCATCTAAATCAGCAGGTGGTTTTTTGCATATACTGTTAATGAAAGGTCCCAGTTTCAAAGCTGTGGTTAGGTGATGCATTGCAACTGTCGGCTCCAGATTGTGGATTGAGAGGGATACCTTGCCGAAACGTTTCATGAATGTTCTGAGTGTTTCTTTCTTCTCCTGACGGATATTTACCAATGCCAATGACGTCAATGGATAAGGACGACTTGTAGCAAATTGCAATTTGAATTGCCTGGTAAGCGTTGTGAAGAAATCAATGGATGAAGGGGGTAATTTGGTAAACTAGTTAAGAGCTGGTCCTCGCAGTGAGGTTGGAAAGATCTGACATAACAAGGCATCGTTGTCAGTGTACAGACCGACTTGAGTTGTAAAAATATCTAGATGCTCTTTTGGGTCAGAGGTTCTATCGTACTTTTTCAATGTTAAGCCCCTCCAATTTTCTAGTAACTTAGCTTCCAAGATAAGCTGTATAAAAGGGCTTCAACATGATGTTCCATCTTGTTCAACGGAAGGGGTATTTCTCGTTTACAAGCATGTTTTCGGCTTTTCCTGCAAAGCCAAGGACTCCTCTTGCTCCTAGACGAAGGCAGTGGTCTGAGAAGGTATATAGGTTCTAATTTCTTCCCTCAAATTGGCATTCTCTGTCCTGAGGGATGACAGTTTGAGAGCATTTTTCTCTCTTAATCGTTGCATCTCTATCATTTCAGACCTTAATTGTTTCACTATCGTAAAGAGATTTTCGTTCCCTCCCCTTTCGACAAAAACTTCCAATATCGGTGAGTTAGGTGTAGTATCTTCTTGCTGATGAGAGGCTCTCCATTGCTGACTCTGCCCTTCCTATTGACTCTTTGTTAGCACCATGATTGCTCTGAAATTGAGGCAAATTGACCCACGTTGGACACCAAAATAAGACTTTGTTGATATATATTAGCCTTTATAAATTAAAAAAATAATCTTTTAAAATTTTGATTGGTTTGTCTTTATAAATTTAAAGAAATTTAAATCAATTTCTACCGGTGCTAACTAACTAACTAATTAATGATAATACATTCATCTAACATGTAAGTTACACGTCATTTTAAAACAGTGGCTAACATGACTTAATGCATGTATCTTACTGTTAAAGAATGATGGAGATCATTTTTAGGAATCAAAACCATTAAAAAATATTAAAAAAATTAAAATTAATTATATTTATAAGAATTAAAAATGTATTTACAGAGTTGGTGTTATATTTAATTGTGATCGATCCTATTCACCCGTCAGGGGAAGGAGAGGACAACTGTGGAGCCCAACCCCAAAATCATGGCACACCAACAAGATTCCCTGACTAAATAATACACAATACTATAGCAAATCGAGGGACCCAACTTGACTTTAACTTAACCTAAGCTTGGTAGCTTAGCTGCTTAGCACCAATTCTGTTGCCAACTTCACACCCACTTAGATCAATACCAACGCTCATGTTAAGGTCAAAATTGAAACTGAGACATTAACTAAATTACATCTTTAACAACTTTTGACTAAAACAAAAGAATCTCATAGTGGAAAAGAAGTAGAAGGTGTCCCAATTGCAGGAGGGGTAGGAGTAGAACCTTCTGATCTAGATTCAGTGGATGATCGGTTTTCAGCATTTACTCTACGAATTTCCTCCACCATTCTCACCACCTCAACCATTTTGGGCCTCTTATCTGGTGTTCTAACAACACATGCCATTCCTATTTGTAGCATTTCAACCATTTCTTCCTCTATATTAGGATACCTTAGTAACTCAACATCAAACACCTCTGCAGTCCACTCCTCTCTAACCACAGAATTCACCCATCTAACCAAGTGAACAACCTCTTCACCTCCTTTGGCATAAAATGGAGATCTTCCAGTTAGAAGTTCAAGTAGCAAGACCCCAAAACTGTATACATCGGATGCAGGCGTTGCTTTTCGCATGTCGGTTACTTCCAGCGCACGGTATCCTGCAGCCCTCAATGCTGGTGGAGGTGTTTGACTCATCAATGTGGCAAGACCAATGTCACATACACAACCATATCCTTGATGGTTGAGGAAAATGTTTGAGGATTTTATGTTTCCATGAATGAGTTTCCCTCCATGTTGAGCATGGAGGTGAGCAATGCCTCTTGCTGCACCAATTGCTATTTTCAATCGGCTATCCCAGTCTAAAGAAATTCTACCTTCCCCTCTTCTGCCTGCATTATAAAGATGCCAATGCCAAAGCACAGTTAACTTTAGCAGCTACTAGAAAGAACTTAGAAATTAATGTATGTGTAGGAAGCTACATAATTCAGCTTTATTAGGTCGAGGGAAGTTTCAGAAGTCGCTACAGATAAATATCATCCAAATTTTTGCCCCTGCATTTTGTATTAATTTAATATTACCGTTTAAGAATGGAAGGAAATTACATGGATCGAGGGTGCTGATGGGTGAAGATTCAGTTTTCTCATTTTCCAATTTTTGGGTGTGTTTGGACATAGCTTAATTAAATCCTTATTCAACAAGGTCTTTGTAAATGGTGGCTTATGCCATAAATTTAACCATAAAACTTATTGAATGAGTTGAATACAACTTATTTTGATAAACTATAGCTTATTAAATAAGTTAAAAGGAGCCTGTGAGAATTATGAACTATTCACATAATTGGTATATAAGTTCTTCCAAACAGGTCCTCAGTGTGAGTTTGCATCAACTTATTTAAAAAAATAATAATCACTTATTTTTGCCGGCTTCCTGTGAATCTGTGATAGCTTTCAAAGAAAAAAAAATTGCATTTTTAAAAAATAATTGTTTTTAATCATACACTAACCATTTGTTCACCTAGCTAGTTTTGGTTTCAATTTTACCTGGGCATACTTAGATCATTCCTATTAGAAGATTAAGGCAAACGAATTTTTAATTGCCTAGATCTGTGAGGAAGAATTAGATAAACGGAAACCGATTGAATTGCGGTATGTCAGATAGATAAAAAATGTTAACTATATAACGTACCATGCAACATTGCTGAGACACTTCCCTGTTCGTAGTAATCATATACCATGAGTTTCTCCTCCTTTGAATAGTAATATGCTCTTAGTGCAGCCACATTGTGATGCCTTATCCTCCCTACAATCTCCATCTGCTGCTCAAACTCGCGTTTTCCAACCGTAACATCCTTCAACCTCTTCACTGCCACCGTGGTTGCATCTTCTATAGCAGCCTTATATACTGTGCCAAATGTTCCCTTTCCAAGTACCTCAGCAGATGCTCTCAACAGGTCCTCCAAGTCAAATGCAAGATTGCAACCCTCAAAGAAGACTATTTTGTTTTTGTCTCGACTTTCAGAAGCTTCATTTTTCGTAGAGACTTCTCTTTTCTGATACTTCACTTGTCCATTTTCACCACTGTGTTTCTCGTACCGGCACACAATTACAAAAGCTGCTATCGCTGTAAATGCTAGCACACAACCACCAATGATGATTCCCAGTAATGCTGGTTCTCTGAGTCTTTTGGCTCTTTGTCTTGTACGATGATGATTTGGTGGTTGAGAAGTAGGAGGAAGTGCATATGCAGTTATAAGATTGTTACCAGAAAAGACCCAACTTGGAAATCTCTGAAGAGATTTAGGCACAACTCCACTAAGGTTATTGTTGGCCAAATTCAGGTCTTGCAGGCTAGGAATATTGAGATCAGGAGTCGCACCTGAAAGAGAGTTGTTGGCTAGGACTAAAGAAGTGAGATGAGTCAAATTTGAAATTGAAAATGGGATGCTCCCATTGAAAGAATTGTTGGATAAATTGGCAACAGTAAGATTTTTCCAAACTGAAAAATCTGATGGCAATGGACCAGAAATTTTGTTGAATTGGAGGTAGAGATAGGTCAAATTTTTCAGCTGAGAGAAATCAGAAGGGAAAGAACCAGTTATGTTATTTGATGTAAGATTCACAGTTTGGAGTGCTGAGAGAAGACTGAGAGTGTTGGCTGGGATTGGACCACTCAATCCAGCTTTGGATAGTTGGAGGGCTATAACTCTGGATTGGTCAATGTTGCAAATTACTCCTCTCCAGCTTTTGCATACAGAAGAGCTCTTATCCCAGTTGAGATAATGAGAGTGATTAATGTTGTGAAGGAAATCAAGCAAAGCTTGTTTATCTTCCGCTGGTTCAGCTCCAACACCAAAGAACATTGCTCCAATGATGAAGGCTGCAGAGTAAATGAACAAGAGGCCCAGCTTGTTGGCCATCTTTTAGGTTGAATGGAGAATACAAACACTAAGGAAGTTGGATGTATAACAAGGACTCCCTCAAAATATTGGACAACAATTTTCTGCAAGAAACCAAATAGGAGAACGAACAAATGATTAGATAATTGAACACTACTGCATGGTGCCTTTGCAAAGCTAATATAACAAAGACAATCTGGGGTTATTTTCTAGACATGTGAAGTGTTAAGAGTGTGTGGTATGTATGTTACTTAACATGTAGGAGTTATTTTCTTAGATTCTTATCTAAAAGCCTAACTAATCGACACTATTAAAGTGCCTTTTGGGTCAAAATAAGCAGCTCCTGTTTGAAATGGGAAATCACCTTATTAGCTTTTTTCTGTTCACCTACTTTGTTTGGTTCCCTAGCAAAGTGAAACAAAAAAGATTTAAATCAAAGCGTTGAAACTAATAGTGGATTCATGAGTTTAGTAGCCAATAATCTGGTGACCAAGGCCATGTCATCATAAAAGAAAATACCATTTTGTGCAATTTAGAAACAAAAAGATAAAAAACAACTACCATATGTATACACAAGAAATGTATAAATGTACATATTTTGGTCTATTTTTTCCTTTGTTTTAGAGAAGAATCCAACTGTAACAGAAGTATAAAGTTAAAAGTTAGAGCACTAGACACATTCATAGAAAGAGAAGAGGGATACTCACAACACACTACTGGATTCCGAAATTCACCAAAACTAGTTAAGAATGCAGAGACAAACAGAAATGTCGCACGCAACCATATCATGAATATTCATGAGCCAAAAAAGTGGTGAATTGGGGAGTTAGCAAGAAAAACCGGTAGGTGAGGAGAAAGGTACCATTCCTGAAACAGGTTCATCTGGTTTCAGAATCAGTGGAAATCCGAACTGGGGTCACCGCAATGATGGTATTAATATTATTAGTAGTGATGGAAGATTAAGTGGTGTATGCCTGGGGGAACAACACCATCACATCACATGCAAAGGAAGTAAGAGAAACATGTTTCGTAGTCATTGGGAAGCCGAATGCTAAAGATATTTTGTGCCGCAAGAATAGGAAGAGGCATGTGGAGTAACCATTGTGTAATGAGACAAATATGGAGACTATGCATATATACAATTTTATATACATGTATGTTTGTATTTGAATTTTAATATGGTTACTAGGTCTAAGACAAACCATTTCTGAGAAGCTTCAGAACCTTAAATACAAGACATACCCTTTGAGTGTAATTGATCCTACAGGTGATGATTCTCCTTCTCCCTCTCCTTCCCCTTTGTTTCTAATTTATGTCTTTTGAGAGAACTTTCTATGGCTCTACCTATGGAGATGTGAATGGGGGAAGAATGGAGATAGATACAATAATAAAGAAAAGTGCAGGTTGAGACAGGACGAGGGGTGATCTCATGAACTTTGTCTTGAGCTTCGATTACACATACCTAGGTGACCCATGTGCTACTCTATAGCATAGTGTATTTCATTAAATTCTATCATGAAAACAGCTTCAGTCAAGATATTATTATTTAACTTTGAATAAAGTATTTGTTTGACATTAATGTGGTGAATGCTAAAGATTGGTTTAATTTGTGATTATCAAAATAGTAAGTAGTGCATGGAAAGTGGAAGATTGAAGAGGCCTATACACATATAGGTTAGGTGGCTGATTTATCTTTTTATGTTTACATTAACACCCCTGAAAAACAAAAGGGTTAAAGTTCGTTGACTAATTTGGGTTGGATTAGGACAGCATCAACGTCATAAAATGATGATGTTGCACCACCGAAAGAAGGGGTTTCAACATTGTTCTTGTTAGGCAGCAACCCTTCCACCAGGGACCAATCATTGGTCTTCATTTCAAGACTTCAGATTTGACATTGCTAAGAGCTCAGGTTCAGACAAATTATTATGCAACTTTCTCATACCCAATTGCTCCCGTTGATCTTCAATTTTCAATTCTGATAAAAACTTGTCTATTAAATCCAAATGAGGGAAATTTGGGTCGAAACTTCTTTGATCTTGATCCTGTACTCATACGATTACATTTGCAATAATTCTTGGCAGTAAAATATATAGAATTAAATAAACGACAATGTCAGTTAATACATTCTCCTCAACTGTAAATTCATACACAAATTGTCCAAAAGTTACTCAAATAAAAATAATTTCAAAAAATCAACTTATTGCACCATCCTCTTTAGGATTCCTTCTTTTGAAGCAGTTGCGTAAATTGAATCTGATAGAGTGATAGAGTTTCAATATGATGGGTTCTCCATCCTAAGTGTTCTGAGTTTTTTTTTAGGTTAATTATGCGCATTAAGTAACCCGTATAGATTTTATTCGTAAACGCTTAGTTCGTTCTTTCAAAGATACATATGCTATTTTCAACTTCAAATGCCTATATATATATATATACACACATACATGTGACCTTTCAAAAAAAAATACATTTATGTTTTTGAAAATTAAATTATTATTGTATTCACCTTTTAAAAAATTAATTATAAAAGTAGTCTATAAAATATTTAAGTTTTCATTAAATTAGTAACTCAAATATTTTAAAATATGACTTTATAAGTCCCTCTAGAAAATTAATTTTTTGTGGGTGAGTGAGTATGTGAAAAATTAAATTGATGACAGATTAATTTAATATAAATTAGACTTTTGAAATTTAGAGATAAAATCTCTAAAGAAATAAAATAAGAAGAAAATCAGTAAAAGATTAAGTTGTTGATAAATTTTTAAATGTACATATATCAGTGTGGTGACAGCACATAATTGTAGAGTATAAAATTGAAAGTTATTATTTTCCTAGAACAAAACAGTGTAGCTGAGAGGCTCATACATCCTGGATTGTGATTTGTGAGGGGTTGAATAAAAGAAAGGTTCTTTGCTTAGATAACAAACTGTTTATGAAAAGATGAAAAGGTTAGCTACAAAATATTTTAATGGTAATCATGTCATATATTTTATTCAACCACTCACAAATAAATATTAACTCCCTTAGGCTCTCACAATAAATATTAACCCTTAATAGGAAAAGCTACACACATTACCCTTATGCGCGTTGGCAGGATATCTTCTTTGTTAATTAACGCTGCCTTCCTCCAAAGTCAAATAACTTGCTTGAATTGATGCATCAAACTGATATCAGAATGGCTTAAATACATTATATTACATGATTTTGATTTTACTTTTTATTTTTTTAATTTATAACTTTGCTCTTCTTTATTGATATGACGTTACAAAAAATTAACCTGTAATAAACTTTTAATTAATTATATCATCACCAAAGGCTAAAAATGTTAAATTTTAAAAATAAAGATTAAAATTAAAAAATTAAGCAGTTAAAAGTATAACTAACAAAATATAGGACCAATATAAACCTATAAAAGTGATACATGTTACACCTGTTCATATAACTCACATCACGACAAAATAATGTGGTAAAATCAAGAGCCTAAGTGCATAAAAAAATTAGTTTCGATTTTTAGTTATTTATATTTTTATATAATGCTTTTATCATACCACATTTTTTTTATCACATCTTTTATTTTATATTTTTTTTTCTTCTATCTCTCTTCAAATGTATACATCCATAATGTATATTAACCATTTTCCAAAATTTTAATAAGCTCGAGTACTAAACCGCTTAACCACAAACAATAAAAATTGTGCAGTAATATGACGTATTTTATATAATATTTAAAATATTTTAAAAATATTTTTTAGAAACTCGCAAAAAAATTATTAGAACTTTTAAAAAATAAAAGTAAAATATTCTGACTAATTGGGATTAAATACAGCTGTAAACAAGAGTATTCACAAGTTGGGTTGATTCAGTTCCTAATTATCTAAAAATTAATTCGAACTGAATAAAATGTTATGGATTTGGTTAGTTTTATATTTTTTTCCTTCTTTTGTCTGACCCAAATTAGCCCAATTACATATGAGTTGGGTCAATTTGTAGAGTCTAATTAGAAACTATATATATAATTATCTTATATAAAAGTTAATTATAAACACCTTAAATTTAGCCAAAAGAAAATTATGTAAGTGTTATATAATAAAGTCAAATGAAAATTTATTCATCTAAAAAGACATCAACAATATATATGTCCACGTTTAAATAATATTCATTTTAGATTACTGTGGTCAATACAATACCAAAGATAACTACTTTAATATGAATGAAAAAAAGAAAGCAATTTCTGCCTCCTTTTCTTTTTCTTCAAATCATACATTTTGTGCAATATCTGAGTATTGGAGGTGGTCTAACACAGTCTTTGGTGGTGATATCTTGTGGTCGCTCTCTGTTGGCTGTGCTTTGGGAATAGCTTGACAATGGAATATGGAGAGCTCTTATAAGAAACACTCAAGTTAGGAAGAGTTTATTACATAAGTTGGAAGATTATAACGTACCTGACGTCCTTGTACTCTTTCTTTGATATAGGTGTTGGTTTTCTCGAGTAAGTCTTTCATCATGACATTGCAATTAGCCGTTGAACTAATATCGTGTAATAAGGGTTTCCCTCATGTGATTGGACACTTTTCACAATATTTATTACTAAACCATTTGATAATTAAGGGTTAGACGCACAATTTATGTTAAACCGATATGACAGATCTTGTAATACCTACTTAATCATATGATCAAATTGTGCAGGTCTTTAGTCAAATTGGACTTCAAAGAAAAGAAAAAGATAATGATTCTAGTAAACCTTGATGAAAGTTTAGTATTTCACAAAATATCCATCATATAAAAAGACAATTATAAGAATAAAAAAATGTGTAAGTTTTACCTGCCAATTCAATCAAAACATTGAATTTCACAAATGAATTCAGGGTTCAGTGAACCAAAAATGCAACAAATTGATCCAACAATTTGTGTATTCTGTCCAGTTTTTATGTTCTCAGTCTTAGATAAATAGTTGTACAGATTGTATTACTTACCTCTTTCTACTTACTACTGAAATGAAAAAGAAGGTACCAGACCTAAGTGGTCGGGCATCTATTCTTATCAAATAATAATGAAGCATTTACCAACTTCCACTAAGGCTGCAAAGTGTAAACTAACCCTAATCAGACTGAAAGATAATGCGATTAATTTCATTTCATTTCAGCTACATAGAATAGATAATGAAAATATAGGAAAATTCAAAATTCATTACCAACCTACCCCTAATTCAGAGGTTTCTAGTTGTGATTTCTGGTTCATGCCTCTCTACCTGAAGAAAGAGCACTAATCCATCAAATTATAAGAAACCAAAAGAGAGAATGGTACAAAAAAGTAAAAAGGAAAAAAAAAATCAAAGAAAGTGACAATCATGTAAATAAAATAAAAGTTTGAGACTAGCATTTGCACACTTGAAACTAACATTATTAGGAGAATCTAACTCCATTGAGGTCAGCTTCATTTTCCTGTTGACAAAATCCAGGTATCCCTACAAAATCCAAGTAGATGTAAACTAAGCTTGATACAGTTCAAAATCAAATATAAAATGTAAAAGACAACTAAGCAATATGTTATACAGCTGATAGAGATCAGCTCCAAAAGCACCATATGGCAACCAGTCAGCAGAAGCAAAAATGACTGCCTCTGCGCAATTTAAACCTGAGAACACAAACAAAAAATACAAAGCTTGACATATTTTAGAACGTATTAAACTCGTAATTTCGGATGGAGACAAAATGAAACTCCAATCAGCATACCAAGATTGAAAACCTCCATGATAAGATCTGGGGAAGGTGATAATAAAATTCCAATATCTCAGCATACTTGAACAATATACACCCCAATCCTGTTATTATACATTGTCTTTAAACTGTTTATAGGCAGAAGCTCACAATGAGGTAAGGAAAAATATTTTTTTTTTCTTTTTATTAGCAGGGAAAAGTTGAGTTTTTGATGTGATATGGAGAGAAGGAAACATAAATAATTATAATGAAGTATTCAGAAGAATAATTTAAAAACAGATTTCCATTATGGGCATACACTTGCAGTATGTCGGGTCAAAGCTAACCTAACCACTAGTCTATCTTCCTTTTACGTTTTTAACCCAAAACATCTTTCGTTTAGATTTGCAGTCTCATAATTCTTAAAATCAAAAGAATATCCCATAATGCAGCTCAAATTCTTCAAATCCTTCTCACTTTAAGAATCGTATGTGATTCAGTTAGTCTCATTTGCGCTTGCGAACTGCTACAAGGTAAAGGAGTTATAAGTTGTAGGCTTGTAAGGGACGATAAATAATTTGGATTTATTGTTGCAGGCCTTTTGGTTCCTGAATATTCATATTCTTAGTTAGGTATCTTTCAAATTAGCCTGCAAAGGCTCATGCAATTGGCTACTAAAATATAATACGTTGGAATATAAAGATTCAGATCCTTCTTTGATAATTGATACAGTTAGCCACAAATACACGGAAGTCACAATCAAAGTTCATGTAAATACATTAAAATATTTTTAATCTACTGAACTGTAAGCTACTTCAACAATAGTGTTTCTAGACATGACATTTTGTTTCAGTCAAATGACAAATTCGCATCTCAGCGATTCTCAAAGGATATCTTACCAATCCATTTCATTCTATCAATATAAAATATTTTATCAATTCAATCGAAGCTCAATTGTGGTTACTAATTAATCACCTAAAAGAGAGAAACTAAAAAGGGAAAAGGAAAGTCAATGAGACAACCAAACTAATGCCACTCACCATTAAAAACTAAAATTACCAAATGAAAAAAAAATATTATACATAAAGGAGGAAAAACTTTCCTTCAACAGAGCATCAAACATTGCTTGAAAGTACAATGAGTATAGAAAACAAAGAAACCTCCAGGCGTAATGTAAAAAAAAAGTTACAGTTCAATTTAGAGCCTAGTTGTCTAGGCTTAAAAACTCTCTTGCAAGAGAGGTTTTTAAGAAGGAATTGTAACTCCATTAGACCTTCTATCCAAACAGGTTCTTAACCTATAGACAAAATCGCCCTACTTATAAAAAGAATGGCACTCTTAAATTAGCAATTTGAGTGTTCTCATGCTGATTACTCTTAGCAATTTCTTTTAAACTTGTCCAAGATTTTCTTCGTCTTTTGCTGGCTGTACTCGCAGCCATGTTTGTAGTTTGAATATCTTTCTTAGAGGAGGAACTATTTCTGATTCTTTTCTTTCCTTCTAACAGGGTTGGGGTATTTGTACTCAATGGAGTTGCCAAACCATCCACAAGGGCAACATCCTTAGCTACAACTTGTGAAGCAAACACACCAATTTCCTTCCCTTCATCTTTGTTTACAATGCCTTTCTCCAATTTTGATGGAGATGTTGATTCTAACAATGACTTTCGATCTTTCGATGGAGAGATTTCTTTTAAATATCCCTTAGGGGTTCCTCTCCTCAGATTCTGATGAAAACAGAAAAGGCACTTGTACACTACGTAATTCTGATTGATGGTACCAAACTTCTTGCGCTTATGCCTGGCCTTCGATTTATTCTTTTCAATTCTAACAGTTGAATTAAAGCCAGGTTGAAGTACAGTTTCACATCTGTGGAGCAGAAAAAAGAATCCTGTTTACAGATGTTTCAACATGTTTCCAAACACATGCAAAACTATCTTGAAAGTGTTGCAACAATCACATAATTTTCACATATTGGATTGTCAATGTGAAACTTGAAGCATGACAAAAATAAAACCATAAGAAGGAAGGTGGAGAAGCAAACCTTTGGCAAGTGATGAAAGAAGGATCAGGAGGAACTCCGGTGGCTTCTCCGAAAGCGGCGAATTGGTGGGCATAGAAGGCAGCCAAAGAGGGTATGGGGGAGTGAGTGGTGGAGGCCCACAGAGTTAGGTTTTTCAAGTGATGAAATCTCAAATTGGACTTGTTGTTAATGGCTGCCTTGCTTTGTATTTTTCCGGTGGCTTCTTCCCTTAACGATATCGGAGTGCGAGAGACAGATTCCAAATTTTTGCCTTCCCTTTTCTTGCCCATCACTTTCGTTCACTGAATGCGGACCACAAATATAAGGATTCTGAGCCGCACTCAATTAGGGTTGGGCTTTGCAAGACCAAGGAAGGACAGGATAGACGAGACAAGGAAGCAAAGGAGAAAAGAAAGATAGGAATAGAATACAAGTCGCGATGTGTACGGGAGTTTAGAGCGAGAGGGTGAGAAAGGTCTTAGAGAGTCATGCCGGAAAGGGGGATGCTTAATATCAGAAAAAGTTTTAATTATATAAATAATATTATTATATTTTATATATTTTTATTTTTTAAAATAAAAAAATAAATATTTTTTAAAAAATTAATACTAGAAAAAGTTAAAATTTTAATAATAAAAGTGGGAGAGAAATTTTTTTTAAAGAATTCCTAAATAAATTCTAAAATTTAGGGTTTTGAAATATTTAGAAAACTTTTAGACACCATAAACAAACAATTCAAGATATTTTTTGAATATATGTATAGTACCACCTATAATTAACTATAAAATTTATTAAATTAAATTAAAAAACTTATAAAAATTGTATTTTATAAATTATATATAAATTATTCCAAACAATTTATAAAGTAGTTTTATAAATTATATTTATCACATGTCCAACTAATATAATAAGATGTTTTTCATTGATTATGTTTAAAATATATTGTTTTTTATGATTAGAAAAATGTTTCTTTTATAAATTAATTTTAATAGTGAGCTATGTATAATTTTTTATTGTATTTAACTATATTTTTAAGTAACACTTTAGAATTGGTTAGCACAAAAATATTGATAAAGTTAGTCTATGATATTTTTAATATATTTAGAATTTTGACGGATAAATAATGAGTAATGAAAATCTAGAAAAATTTATTTGAATATGGAATAAAATTAAAAGATAGAAATATGGTGTATTTTGCAGTATTATTAGAATATGGTATTAAAAAAAATATCAATGGTGATTTTAACATGAAAAGAACCATAGCAGGGACTCACTCAGACTACAGTTTCAGGTTGTATAGGATTCTTTAAAAAATGTCAATGACAATTTTAAGTAGAACAGAACCATAACCATAACAGGGAAGCAAACTGCAACTTCAGGTTTTTATAAAATTGCAAATGGCGATTTTGACGATGGTCAAGGAGTAAACTTTCAAAGGCATTTTTCAACAATTGTTGACACTGCAATGCACAGAATCATGGTAGGAACTAACCTCTGAACCTTGTAAACTCGTTGATGGCAAGTTTTGATTTCGTCCATCACGCTATGCAGGGAGCTATAGCAATGGAGACCCAATAAATTGCCATTGACGATTTTTACTCTTTATATGTGGCCACCAAAGCTGATGCTGTATCCGCGAGAGGGGAACCAAAAATTGAAGAGGAAGCTTTCTGGAGAAGAAAAAGAAGGCTGAGAGAGAGAGAGAGTAGAAAATAAAAAAAAAATAGAAAAATAGAAAAAAAGAAAAAAAATTAGAAAAAATGGTAAAAGATTTAATCATTGATTCAAGAAAAACATATTTCTAAACAAATTCAGAATTTAAATATAAATTTTTAAATTTTATTTAATGTATTTTTAATGTGTATTTTAATATATATGTTATCAATAATGCATTATATTAATTTTAATTTTTTTTATATATTATATTATAATATAATTTTGCTGAAAAATTAGTTAGGTTAATTTAATAATAAATTATTTGTTTTATTTGAAATGAGTTAAGGTAATTTATATAATAAATGAATTAATTTGTATATACAAAATATTTTAATAAAATTTGAGAGTTAATTTAAAATAATTAATAATAATATGGTTAAATATTTGTATTGAATGTCTATATTTCTTAATAATTATTTATTGTATTTTAAATAATTATAATTTAAATAGTAATTATTATGAATTTGTTTAAAATTTATTAAATATGTTTATTGTTAATAATGCGTTAATGTTAATATTTTGTTAATTATATTACTATAATGAATTTTAAATTGATAAGACATATTATTTTATAAATATTTTGTAGGAGTTATTTAATATAGATAATGTATTTTAATAATATTTTTTTATATTATTTATAACAGGTAATGAGATTGTTATGCTCTCGTCATTTGTCGATAACGCCTCCAAGGACAGAAATTATGAAAATTTTATGGCATGTTGGCTTTGATCAAATTTCTCAACTTTATCAAATGCAAATAAACGATTCACTTATAAATGCACTTGTGGAACGTTGGAGGCCTAAAACACACACATTTCACCTAGTTTGTAAAGAATGCATAATTACATTAGAAGATGTTTATATGTTAGTTGGACTGAAAGATCAATGGTACAACAGTGATTGGTTCTACAAATCCCTTTACTGTTATAGTACAGGATATGTGTGAAAATTTAATAAGAGGCCGACCTGATTCAAACGACATTGACGGATCAGAAATTAGATTAAAGTGACTATCACAACACCTTGGTTGGCTTCCTTTGAATTCTAACATTAGGTTACAATAACATGTTCATGGGTATATTCTTTGCTTGTTGGGACATGTTCTGATGCCAAATAAAAATAATTTAGTGGTATATGTAAAATTCTTGTAGATGTTAACAGATGTGAATGAAATTAGCAAATAAAATTGGGGATCAACATGCTTGGCTTCTCTTTATAGAGGGTTGGATGTGCTTCTAGACATGATGCTAATGAAATTTGTGGTTGCTTGATACTTCTGCAAGTGTGGGCATGGCATCGTATCCCATGGCTAGCTCCAATCCCAAGAGAACCAATAATATTTCCACTTGCTCTTAGAAGGAGACACTTTCGATATCAAGCAAATACTCCATTTAAGAATCTTCAGAATATTATATTAGCATTGGATCAAATGGAGGTTACTGAGGTAAAGAGTTTTACGAAATCTTATTATTATGTTACAATTTTGTATATTGTATATTGCAGTTTTGTATATTAACACTACTAAATTTTGTATATTGCAGTTTTTGTAGACACCATATGTGCATGATGAAATTGATGTAGTAACTCCAGATGAAGTGAGGCATGAACAACAAGTGTGGTCAACTGTTAGCCCTCTTATATGTTTTGAAGTTATAGAGTGGCATGTAACTGATTGTGTGATGCGTCAATTTGGATATGCTTAACTTATTCCTCTTTAACCCTAACAACTTGAATGAGTCCATAACAGAGACCTACGTGGAGCAAAAGAACCAAAGGATTGGACAGTCATACATTATGAGTGGGTGACAACATGAAAGCATCGACATGAACGTATTTTAGAAGGAGTACAGCCTCAAAATTTTTATTCTTCTAATGAAAATTGGGTATGATACACATTGTATGCAATGGATTAGCTATGGTTATCCCCGCAGATACAAGACCTAGCACCTCAACAACAACTGTTGCCTATAGAGCCATCATTTTCTGAGCATAAAGACAATCATGATATTTGATTGAATTAATAATTGAATTGGATGATTGTTCAAATGCATATTTAAATCTTTAGATACTGTGATAGTCAGAGTTATACATAATTAGTATTTTGTGAATTGATGTTTCTTAATTCATTTTTACTCAATTTAATTTTGTCCATAATTTAATTTGATTAATTGCAATTTTCAAAACTCCAAAAACCTTATTTGTAATTTTTTAAAAGAAAACCTAAAATTGAATTTGACTGGGAATGTGTCTCCATAAATCGACCTAGGTTTGACTCTATACTACAAAATCTTTAGAAAACTTAGTTGTTTTGATAGCAACTCAACATCGTCTATCAATCACACATTGCTATGCATCATTGCGACAAAGTTTCAAATGAGGCTTCTCACTGACCAAATACATTTTCAATTGCCTTTTGTTTTTCAACCATGCTTTCTGATAACTTATCGTATACCTAAATCAAGATTGAATTTCCCCAATCATTACTTTGATTTTAAAAGAAAGATCAGATTCTACCATTGGCTTTATACATTCTGCAATTGAATCTGTATCCAACTTTCTGTGATATTAAGAAATGATTTCAATAGTACAAGTGTGTGGACTATTATATTTTTGGATTTCTCAAAAATACTCATTTTTTTTAAACTAGCTCAAAAAAGTCACATGCAATTTAAGCCATATCTTACACATTTGCAATAAAAAGTATTTAATTCTGACTCTAACACTTTGTAGTCCACTCCTTTTGATATATTGTAATGCTTTACTGTTTTTATAACATCTTTGTCACTGAATTGCCTTCAATATACAATTCACCATCTGTGTTACCTACCAATAGCGAACATAAACTAATTAACAAAACTAAAATTAATCTCACTAACACAGTTACAAATTTTACATACCTAAGTTTGCATACTCTAAAAACTTAGAAGTATTCATAGCATCAAGATCTAATTCACGCATGAAGAGTGGCTCGCCGAAAGGATGTTGCCACCTATATGGGGCTCCTTTTTATCAGCATTATTATCAACATCCTCATCGCTTTCCTCATCACTTTGATAATCTCCTTCAAAGTCATAGTCATCACTTTCACTGTTGTGTTCACAATCTATCTCTGTCTCTAGTAGCATGACAAATTCTTCTTGCACCTCATTACTTTTGAAAATAACATACAACTCAATCGTACTACTTGGAGGATGACGTTGTTGATGTATTTGAAATATTTGTTGAACATCATTATCATTGGTTATTGGAATTGAATGATATTGTATAAAATTGACAAATATTGACATTGGACATCGATACTAACACTTTCCATTGTTTTTGGAAACGAAACTTCATGAACGTATTGACAAAGCCAACACTTTAAATTCAAATAATACATTATATAGCATATACACATGTTGGCTTTTTGCATGCAAATAACACACATTCACTCGTATTTGGTATAATCTCATCATTAAAATAAATTACAACAGACACACTCATTTTTTTTTCATAAACACACAAGCTTCACATACATTCTCTAAGAACTTCAAATGGTTGTAAGAGCGAGTTGCAATGAACAAAAATTTTAGTATTTATAGTCTTCCCAATTAAAAATCGCCAATGACATTTTATAAGATTTTTTAAAAATTTACATTAGTCAAATGTCGTCATTAGCGAATTTTAAAAAGTGAAATTTTTTTCGACAATATAAAGTCGTCAATGATAATTTTTACCAGTCATATTTACTTTTCTTTGCTTAAACTTACCAATGACGAATTTACTTTGTCAAATTTTATTTTTTTTATTATAAAATCGCCATTGACATCTTTTACATCCATCATATTTACGTAATTTTGTAAAAAATGTCATATTTAAATAATTTTATTTTAAAAAACTATAATAAAAAAATGACCCAAAAATTTAATGTTATTATTATTTTTAATATTTTATTATTTAAAAATTAATATTTATAAAAAATTTAATATTTATATTATTTTAAAAAATTAATAATTAATTCTTCTAATTGTACGTACTATTTTTACTCTCATTCACAAAACTTCACCAGAATTACCCTCCCAGCAAGTACAATGGGTTTGGAACCACGTATTAATGCAATCTCGTGATTGCATTTAGGCAAAAGCTTCACCTTTTCTCGGTCCACGAGCTCTCAAGAGAGGCAAACACCACATTCCAAATCATCCATGATGATCAGGTGACCCCTAGGGAGCAAGTGCTGCAGGCTCTTAACAAGTGCGGGTTTTGACTGGAGACTTGCACACATGTACTTCAACTGGCTCTCCAAAACAAATGGGTATCCTCCAAGCTCCCTTGTTTACAACGTAGCCAGTCCTCTAGCGATGAAGCTGACTATATTAATTTTTTTTTAAAAGTTTTTTTATAAATATTATTTTTAAATAATAAAATATTAAAAAATATAACGGATCAGCTCTACTTTTCTTTTCCAACTTATCTTTTAAGAGACATAATTGTTAGCAGAAATGAGAAACTAATTTTAAATTTTTTAAAAATATCAAGATTAAATTTTAATAATTTTAAAAAATTAATTATAAATAGTGTTATTTTTATAAAGACAATAAATATAATTAAACTTTTTAAATTTATAAAACAAATTTTGAGAAACCCAAGGATCGTGGTCATGAATGGAAATGGAAGAAATATGGTGTAAAATTCAATGCTTTGCTTTTTACGAGGGATCATATCATGGAAGGTTTCTGACTCATCCATTGGGATCACATGCTGTTCTTTGTTTTATTTGCTGTTCACTTTGACAATTGTACCTCTGGTCGAATGATCCACCTACACGTTTCGTTATCTCGACAAAAAGGGAAAAAAATGTCACATTTTGTTATCTACAGGTACAGTTTTCATTAATAGGCCAATTTTATTATAATTTTCACTTAAATATTTTTCATTTATTTCAAATTATTTATTCCTTTTAAATATTAAAAAAATATTTAAATTTTTTTTAAATAATGTCCTTATTTATTAAAATAATCTTAAGATTAGTAACACTTGATTATTAAAATAATTTTATCATTTTTAATAAGATATTTTCGTGAAATTTATTTTTTACCATAATAATTGATCAATTAATATTTTTAAAAATTTATACATTAATACTGAGTAACAATTATTATGAGACTGAAAGTATATACTATTTTGTTTTTTTTGTCATTTAAAATTTTTACAAAAATTTAGTAAATAATTAAAATTACAAATTTCATAAAAAGTTGTTATTTTTTCTAACTTTCTATTATATTCTTCTATTATATTAATTTTTCACTTTTTTATTATCCTTTATCGAAACAAACAATTATTTAGAGGAAAATAAAAAATAAACTATTTATTAATTTTAGTTAAAACGTATAAAAAAAAAGAACGGAGGAAGTCTCATTTTATGTGTTTCCTAAAGAAAATAAATATGACATAGAGATTTAATTTTTTTTTTAAATTAAAAGTAACTATAAAAACAACTTTAAAAGATTAGAATACAAAAGAAAAAAAAAACTTGGTTAAAATAGATAAAACATAAACAAAGCAATAACTTTTTTTGAAAAAATAATAATTAAAGAATGGAAATTTTAGAAAAACGTCGCACGACACTTTCAATACATATATGTATATATATATATATAGAGAGATTCCGTATATGACAATTTAAGCTACGTAAGCAATCTATTATATAAATAATATCCTAGTATCATAAAAGGACCAATTTACATTCGAATGCAACTACCCACAGTCACAGTGCCATTCATGGATCTACTTTCTAATCCATGTTTCTTTGCTGCATTTTCTGCAGTTTTAACTCTTTTGATGGTTAAAGTTATGTTGAGAAGATTGCAGAAAAGGGAAAGAAAGAAGTACCATCCTGTTGCTGGTACCATATTTAATCAGATGCTGAACTTCAATAGGTTGCACCATTATATGACTGAACTTGCAGGCAAATACAAGACATACAGGTTGCTCAGTCCTTTCAGATATGAGGTTTACACTGCAGAACCATGTAATGTTGAGTATATACTCAAAACCAGATTTGAGAATTATGGAAAGGTGGATACTTTATTATTGAATGAATTTAGTGGTAATTGTTGATGTTGACTTTCACTTTTGGGATGGATGAATTGATGAGATTATATAGATGGTTATTTCTGCAATATGAAATTTTTTTTGACAAAATTATTATTATTGTTTTAATATTCGTGTTGATTTATTTGTTTGATTAGACTAGTTGTAACTTTGTATGGAAGGGGTGAGGTGCCACTACCTGCATAGTGGATTGGATTCAAGTAATTTAAGAGCTTCTAGGATTTCCTAATGATGTCAAATATATTATGCTGTGGGTAGGTTTTCTCGATGATATGAAGAATTTGAGCACCCAAATAGAATTCTTGAAGGATTTTTATGAAAAAGGGTTAAACAGAGAATTCTAGGATCTCCTAATGATGTCAAATATATTAGATACATAGATGGCACTTTGAGATGGTGTTTTCTGATTAATTAACACAGCATAAAGGGGTCTGTTTGATTCTTTAAAGGATGAAGTTTGGTTTAATGGCTTCAATTTTGGTGCAGGGGTTGTACAACTACAACAATTTGAAGGATTTACTAGGTGATGGTATTTTCACTGTTGATGGTGAGAAATGGCGTGAACAAAGGAAGATATCGAGTCATGAATTCTCCACCAAAATGTTAAGGGACTTCAGCATTTCAATATTCAGAAAGAATGCAGTAAAACTTGCAAACATAGTGTCTGAAGCTGCAACTTCTAATAGTACATTGGAAATCCAAGTCAGTAAATATATGTTCTGAAAGAAGCTATCTTGTTGCCTTCTTTCATCTCCTGGGTTAGCATGTTAACTTGCTCCAATAATTTGTATAGGACCTTTTAATGAAATCAACTCTGGATTCAATTTTCCAAGTAGCATTTGGAACTGAACTTGACAGCATGTGTGGATCAAATCAAGAAGGGAAGATTTTTGCCGAGGCTTTTGATACTTCAAGTGCACTAACCCTTTATCGTTATGTAGATGTCTTCTGGAAGATAAAGAAATTTCTGAATATTGGATCAGAGGCCACGTTAAGAAAGAACACTGAAATTTTAAATGAATTTGTTTTTAAGCTGATCAACACTAGAATTCAACAAATAAAGATTTCAGAGGATGTTTCTACTGTAAGTCTATTACATATGAGTTGTATTATATAAGGCGATAATGTTGACAATACACTGTTGTATTTACATGTGAGAGCATGACGGGTTAATCTTGACTATACAATCAAATGGATGGTCAAGGTTAAACTTAAGTAAAACAATCTTCATCATTTATGTATGGTTATATGGCTAAGATTAACTCTTCTAACCTTTCGCTAGGTATGCTCCCAATATATAATGTATTTTTCACTTTGCATATGTAGAGTAAACGAGGAGATATTCTCTCAAGGTTTCTGCAAGAGAAAGAATATGATCCAATATACTTAAGAGATATAATTCTAAACTTTGTTATTGCTGGGAAAGACACAACAGCTGCCACACTTGCTTGGTTCTTGTACATGCTATGTAAGTATCCTGCAGTTCAAGAAAAAGCAGCAGAAGAAGTGAAAGAAGCAACTAAAACAAAAACAATTAGTAGCTATACTGAGTTTGTGTCCAGTCTCACGGACGAAGCTCTTGAAAAGATGAATTATCTCCATGCAGCAATTACAGAAACTCTCAGACTTTATCCTGCAGTTCCCGTGGTAAGGATAATTTTGAACTTGATCTCATCATCACTAGATGTGGGAGGAACAAATCTTTACCATTGGTCTTGCTTGGTGCTTGCATAAATGGTTACAATTGAAACATCTCTAAAGGTGACAAGACTTTTAGTGTTTGAATTTTGATTACTTATGTCCCATATTTACACCCGCATCTCTCATCCTCTATATTACTTGATAAGGACTCAGGAGTATTGATGAATTTATCAGGTTTCTAAATTCCCACATTGATTTATTATTGTTGTAAGGGCTTGTATGATGAAATGGATTCTAAGTTAGGACACCTTTCATGTAGGATGCAAAGATTTGTTTTTCTGATGATACATTACCAGATGGATATAGTGTAAATAAAGGAGATATGGTAAGTTACCAACCATATGCTATGGGTCGGATGAAATTCATTTGGGGTGATGATGCAGAAGAGTTTACACCAGAAAGATGGCTTGATGAGAATGGCATTTTTAAGTCAGAGAACCCTTTCAAGTTTACAGCTTTTCAGGTTTGTAGAGCTTTGCTAAGGACATTCATTTAGCATTTATTTTTATTATTTGGGTTTTGCTAACATAGCACAATCCACATTTTAAAGAATTAGCAAAATACACACATTTAACACCATGAAAATTCAAAAGCGTTTAATATTTGTTTAAGTGACTGATGGAGACTTATGGTAATAAGTGCAATTGGGCACACGGTGAACTCATATATGTGTATATGTGTGTTGTCTTTATGGAATCATTGATGTAACTGTAATTTTCATTCATCAACAGGCTGGTCCTAGGATTTGTCTAGGAAAGGAGTTTGCTTATAGACAGATGAAGATATTCTCAGCAGTATTGTTAGGCTGTTTCCGCTTCAAATTGAATGATGAGAAGAAAAATGTCACTTACAAGACGATGATAAATCTTCATATTGATGGAGGTCTTGAAATCAAAACCTTCCACAGACAAGGGATTAGAAGATGATTTTTAGACAATCCAAACTCTAAAGAGAAGCTCAAAGTAGTTCAATAAAAGGGCAGTGTATCAAAATTCAATGATATGAATTGTCGACAGATATTGTGCATAACCAAGGTAATAATGTATTTTTTATTCTAATTACTGAATATGATTATTAGAAGGAAAAAAGCAAATTGGATAATTGTGTCCTGCAAAAATGAATCTCAAATAACACGCATAGTTATTTTGGATAGAATTATATATGCCAATATCGTCTTATAAGAAATGCCCAGTCTTTAGATATTTTGAAGATTTAAATTGTTCAGTGTAGAAATAATCTTATACTAGCAGTGTAAATAAATTAGTAGGTGCGTCTCAACAAACTAAACTCAGTGTAAAAAAATTAGCTAACGGTATTAACGTTCCAATTTCACTAACAAATTCTTGTAGCCAAAGCTACATTATTTTTCAATTGTTTGAGCGAAGATTCGTCCCCTAGAACACTTCTTGGGATAACTTTTTCCCTCAGTTCTTATAATACAAATAGAATTTGAGTAGCATATACACATTCAATAGAGTTTAAATTTTGAATTTCAAAAAGAAATATCCAATTTTCAATAATTGAGGCGTCCCTTGAAGATCACAAATATGTAAATATTTGTAAGTTTAAACAAGCTTTTAGTCCCTAAATTTTTGTTTTTGAGGTTTAGTCCTTAACAAATTTAACGAGTATAAAATTAGTCTTTGCCATTAACTAATTGAGCATGCAGAGGGATATATATTTGCAAAAAAAACATATAGTTGTAAATTCACAATCTACTAGGCTGAGACTAGGACAAGTGTTTATTAAGTTACAAATTCGTTGGCAAGGTGTTTTTTCTTTTCTTTTCTTTTTTCTAAATACTATATGAAAAAATGAAAATTGTACTCCTACCCAAATTTGTTGCAGCTCAATTTTAGAATCACTTGTAAGAAACCTAACAGCAAGTAGCTATATTTGAATAAATTAATTAGTCGTTAGCAGTATCACGAATTATCACAATATTATATCATAATAAACTCTAATAAATTAGATCCAGTACTTACCATCGTCATTCTGTTGTATTGAAATAATTTTATTAATATCAAGAAAATATTGAAGGCGGGTGCCTCAGCAGACGCTGCTGAGCCTCAACGTCCGAAAAGTATTACAAGAAAGAACAACTATTTATAATTTCATTCACTGTAAAAAAAAAGTTAAAGGACAAAATTGTATTGATTCAAACCTGATACAGGACTTTATATAGTATCGTTTTGTTAATTCTGTTGTCGTGATCTGAGTTATTGTTCTGTTAAGCCTGTTGTCGTTAATTTTGTTGTCGTATTAATTAATAATAAATATCTATAAATAGAAAAGAGGAAGGCGGAGATTATTCAGATTTATTGTAAACATTGTCAATTCTTCTGCACATTTAATACAATTTTTTTCGGATTCCATTCTTTTATTGGATTCCCTACTTCCTGCAGTTCTTCGAGTGATTCTTCTCCTAGAATTGTATTAACAGTGGTATCAGCTTGGCACCTTCTAGCGGCATTATGGCGGATGCAACAAGAAATCAGGCAGCATTGCGCGAACAAAAAGAGCGGTTGAAGAACCGTGTCACAGCGCGATTGGAAGCAAAGTTCATGGAGATTATGACGTCGCTACAGCACACGATGGACTCCTCGTTTGATGAACGGGTTCAAGAATGTATCAAGAAACATATTGAAGGATCGGAGGTGCATATAAAAGGAACAACTCCACGACATTCTTCGTCCTATTCTTGTGGCACGCGGTTAGCCCGAATTGAATTTTCCCGTTTTAATGTTGATGCAGTGAGACAGTGGATATATCATTGTGAAGCTTATTTCGCAATTGATGGGACACCTGAGGATGTGAAAACAAAATTAGCTGTGATTCATTTTGAAGGGAAAGCATTACAATGACATGCTTCTATGGTGAAAACTTTTCCTCTTGATAGTTTACCGGTTTGGTCGGATTTCACTAAAATTTTAATTGAAAGATTTGGAGAGGTTTATGATGATCCTATGGCTGATTTGATGAAACTTAGACAGAAAGATTCTATTGTTGATTACCATGAGAACTTTGATGAAATTGTATCTAGACTAGAATTGTCAGAAGAATATAAGCTAAGTTGTTTTCTCGGTGGCTTAAAATGGGATATTCAGATGGTTGTACACATGTTCCAACCAACCAGTGTAATGAAGACTTCTCACTTGGCCAAATTATATGAATTTGCTTCAAACACTACCTCTATGCCTAAACACTTGTTGAAATTCCCTAAAAATAGCACTGCATATTCTCTCAAAACCTTCTTCTGGAACCTTCGCTATCTCACCTACATCTGCAAAAATCCAAACACAAACCTCTAGGCACCTCACCCCTGCTTTTATGAGTGAAAGAAGATCCAAGGGTCTTTGTTACTTCTGTGATGAACCCTTTACACCTGCCCATGCCTTAACATACAAAAAGCTGCAACTTCATGTCCTGGAAGTAAATGAAGGAGAGATAACTGAGTTGGATGAGGAAGAATTGTATCAAGAAAATGAAGCTGACCCGACTGATTCTATAGACCCACAGATTTCAGTGCATGCACTTACTGGTATAGCAAATTTTAAAACCATGCGTGTCACGAGTTATTACAAGAAAAAATCATTGCACATCCTCATTGACAGTGGTAGTACTCATAATTTCCTGGATGTCCACTTGGCTAGGAAAATGGGATGTTTAATTGACGAGATTTTCCCATTAAGTGTTGCAGTTGCAGATGGCGCAAAGGTGAATCTAACTTCCATGGTAAAACAATTTTCTTGGTCCATTTAAGGATCCACATTTAGTTCCTATATGCTGTTAATTCCATTGGGATGCTGTAACTTGGTGTTAGGAATCGAATGGTTAATCACTTTGGGTGATATTACTTGGAACTTTGATAAACTAACCATACAATTTTTTGTTCATGGAAAAAAGTTTGTGTTGAGAGGTGCTTCCAATGTAGGTATCAAAACAGTGAACAGAAAACAACTGGGGAAAACAATTGCTTCTGGTGTTCATCTATCAATGCTACAAGTATGTGATCAACAAGAGGGTACACTATTACATTCTTTAACAACTCATGCTCCTTCGATTGAGCAAAATATTTTGATTGAAGCTTTACTGTTCCAGTTCGAAGATGTATTTCAAGAACCAGCTAAATTACCCTCTAAAAGAGGAGGCCATGACCATAAAATTCCTTTGGGTCAAGGAGCTATTCTAGTAAATAAAAGGCCTTATAGATATGCAAAACAGCAGAAAGACATCATTGATAAACTGGTTAAAGACTATTTAAGAGTGACATAATTCAAAATAGCAGCAGTTCCTATGCTAGCCCGATGATTTTGGTGGGGAAGAAGGATGGGTCATGGGTCTTGGAGATTATGTGTAGATTACCGGGAACTCAATAAGCAAATTGTGAAGGACAGATTTCCCATACCTCTAGTGGATGACCTCTTAGATGAGCTTCATGGGTCTAGTATATTCTCTAAGATTGATTTAAGGACTGGTTACAACCAAGTTCGAATGGATGAAGCTGATGTTCACAAAACATCCTTTAGGACACATGCTAGACATTTTGAATATTTGATAATGCCCTTTGGGCTAACTAATGCCCCGGCTTCTTTCCAAGGGCTAATAAATGATGTGTTTAAGGAATTTTTGAGGCAAATCTTATTAGTTTTTTTTTTATGATATATTGATCTACAGCAGTAATTTGGAAGAGCATTTGAGTCATCTTGAGTAGGTTTTGTTGACAATGCGATCTTATTGTTTGTTTGCTAAGAGATCTAAATGTTACTTTGAAGTTGAGAAGGTGGAATACTTGGGCCACTTTATTTCAAAAGATGGAGTTGCCACAGATCCGGCTAAAATCATGGCTATGAAAAATTGGCAATTAAGGGTTTTTCTTGGGCTGGCTAGATATTACTGACGGTTTGTGAAAGGTTATGGAAGTATTGTTAGACCTCTAACTAATATGCTGAAGAAAAACAATTTCTGCTGGTCCTTAGACGCTAAAGCTGCCTTCCAAGAATTGAAAGACCACTTGATTAGAGCACCGGTTTTGGCTTTACCTAATTTTTCTAAGGAGTTTGTAGTGGAGGTGGATGCTTCTGGTACAGGTATTGGTGGTGTCCTCATGCAGGAACACCACCCTATTGCCTTTATTAGTAGAGTATTGAATTTACAACAGCAGTCACTATCTACCTATGAGAAGGAGCTATTAGCAGTGGTATTTGCTGTGCAAAAGTGGAGACATTATCTCCTTAATTCCCACTTTGTTATCAAGACTGATCATAGAAGTCTTCAATACATCCTTCGTCAGCGGCTGACCACATCTTTCCAACAAAAATGGCTGGTTAAGTTAATAGAGTTTGACTTCTCTATTGAATTCAAATAGGGTCACACAAATGTGGCTGCTAATGTAACACCTTAAATTTAACTTTAATTAAATAATAATTTTACAAATCGGATAACCAAATTTTCATAAAAGATTTCAAAATAAGTGAAGGGTTATAAGTTAATATCAAATAACTGCTACAAGACTAAATTACAACGTTTTCAAAATAAATTCTAAGTCCTATAGCAGTTCATCCGTCCCTTCACTGAGTCCGGTGTTGATCGTCTTGGTTACCTGAAAAATGAATATAAGGGTGAGTACTCTACACTATCCAAAAACATACAATAGATGTAGAGTCTCACCTCCAGAACATTTCAATACATTAAACAAACACAATCACCAGCAGCATTTCACATCCATAAGTATAATTCATAAACTCATGCATATGCACGCCAGTCATATTCACTGCAACACTGTGATCACAGATTTACACTATGAATGGTCGTCGGTTATCCCCACCTTACGGATACCACGTGGACAGTCACGGGTCGCTCAGCAAAGGTAATGATCAGAGGTCTAGTCAGGAAGAGAGTGTGTGACCCGTGGTGCACCCGTTCCACAGTCGATGTCACCACCACTTCCTCTTCCCCAAGGTATTTCTACCGTTCTCATCTCCCACACCCCCAGTGTATCGCTAAACCATTCACAGCACATTACAGCGGCACTAACACGCCCATTCACACATATTCCATTCACGCATGCAATAATCA